ATATATGGCCGAAAATATTGATCAAAATAGCGAGACAACCAACTGATGAACCAGTACGTTTTAAAGAAAGTCGAATATACGGCCGAAAATCTTGATCAAAATAGCAGGCAATCAACTGATGAACCAGTACGTTTTAAAGAAAGTCGAATATACGGCCGAAAATCTTGATCAAAATAGCGAGGCAATCAACTGATGAACCAGTACGTTTTAAAGAAAGTCGAATATACGGCCGAAAATCTTGATCAAAATAGCGAGACAACCAACTGATGAACCAGTACGTTTTAACCATTAGATATGATAAGTTCTTCTTTTGCGCCGATTTATAACAATACACATTTCTGTTAAATTTTAACCAGTTTGTTATATAGAGTTAGCTTCATTAATTTATAAGTTATACGTTCTAATTCTAATCTGTACAATTGCTTACTTTTATTCAGGAAGTTACTAATATTTTATCAACTATTCTTGCTATATTTTAGAAAAATAATTGGAATATAGTTTTATAAAAGGAAACAATTTAATTTGAATGAAAACAATCTTTCAATTACTTATCAAAGTTTTTATCAACCTAGGTTATGTTGCTACAAGTGGGAAATAATATCTGATTATGAGTTAATATCAAAAGGTTATTATAAAAATGGAGAACTTTTTAATATTTATTGTTATATACCTACTCATTTCGCCTTTGTTTGTTACGTTTACTAACAATTTATGTTCAGTAAACGTTGAATTAAAGCAAATGTTATCGTCGTAAATTAGAAAAAGAAGAGAAAAAATACCGTAAAAAATTACAATTTATTCGGACACTAAGAAATGACAAATAAAGATCAGATCTGTAGGGTAATTCAGAAATTTTAGAATGTCAGTATTTGATGTCCCAGATATTTTACAGATCTGCTCGAAAATCATTGAAGTGCAATTTTATAATGAAAAATGGCTTATAAACACAAGAATAAAAGTTTTTTCTGTAAAGTTGAAATTTAAGGATTCTAGTTTTTCATCATGCGTTTGCCCTTTTTTTTTTCGTTTGCGCCGAGTTGTATTTTCTTCTTCTTTTTTTTTTTCCAGGACAGAAAGAAAATATGTAAAACATACTATTTTAGGCCACACTGAATAGTTGTTAAATAGTTCAATCGTACCTTAATTAAAATGTATGTTGAATAATTATAGTTGGACAGTGACATTTTAACCATAGATATTTCGTTATAGTTAAATCTAGTTCCTAACTTTCTAAATTAAAGGTCTTATCAATAAAATAATATATTTTTTCCTACTCAGTTAACATTCAGCAATGAGAAGTTACTTTTTCTTTAGTAGGCTTTATCATCCAGTTGATAAAGTGGTTTAGTCGAACATATATAACATTATACTAGTTCAAATAAATAAATTGTTTTCTATCTGGAAAATAGTAAATCGAATGTTTTCAGCACCAAAAAGGACTTGCATACAACGGGGCTGTCGCTTTCGTGCACTGATAGAACGGTACCAGGTTTCGTTATGTAAGCTTTCAAGTTACAGGGGTGGGGGAAGAGTATTATATGGTTACTTTATACCATTTTATTAGCCTGATGTTGTATGTATTTAGATTGCGTTGTTCATAGATTGTGTTGTTTTAATACTATCTCTATAAATTATGTTCTAAAATCACGAGAGATATTATCATACAGCGATTGATGTTGTTCAGTAAAACCGACATGTTTTGATGGTTCTCTGAAACTGCTTAATATCCACTAATAGGTGTATTTTGTTGTAATGAGCTTTATCTTGATTATCATGTTGTTTGACTTCATGTTTGGTGCCGTCTGTCATTAGTTGTATGTTATTATTATACATAGAAAGCCTTTAGTCATTATAGTACTTCATTGTTTTGTTTCTCATGTACCATAAAGTTTAAGGTTTTACTAATTAAGTTACAAATGGTTTAATTATAATTATAAGTATTTTACAAAAAACATATCTTTAAAATTCCGTTGGTTGCTTTCTGTTTAAGATATTTTTCAAAAGGCTTATTACTTTCACTATTTGCGCACTAATATTTCACGAATAAAACATGCATTTACAAAAGAAACGATTTACAATTTTTAATAAACTCTTCATGTGCATTCTTGGCAAATTTAGAGACGAAAGTTCTTCAATGTGTATTTCTACAAAAAATGATTAAACACTCATAAGAGACTTAACAATGCACATTAAAGCTTACCTGGAATTATACACATTTGTTCAGTAAACGTGGAAAGTAGTGTCTATTACGTAAACTTGATATTGTAAAATGGAATTTACCGCTACATGCATGCATGGAGTACATTTCCTTGGAGATGCTTGAGATATAAGCAGCGCAGCCAAGGGTGAAGTGCGAGGGGGAAGACGATAAGCGTTATTGAAATATTGAAATATATCATGACAAATACATTAATAAACATATTTATTGTCTTCCATATAAAGAACACTAAAAAAAAGAGAAAAACAAACATAGTAAACGTAGTCAACTCATTCACTGGTTTTCTTTCACAACCCACAAATCATGATTAGGGATACAGCTTTGCATATATATTGGTATTTATCTTTCCATACAGTAGCATCCTTGAAACTACCTATCATACTCTGGAAGGTACTGCACTGAGTAATATGATATATCTTCAAATGAATGTCTCTCTATTGCCAAAGTTTCCGATTTGAATACTTCAACCATTTTTAAGCATAGTAGTCACGTGAAAGTTTGCCAGGTTTTACATTTCATTTATTTCTACTCTCCCTTTTTTCTTTTTGAATTTCATAGAATAAAATGTTTTGCCCAACAACATTTTTCGGAACATTACATCTACAGTTCAAGGAACTGTGATGCATTTAGCCCTGTGATTTAATGCTTTGTTGACCGGCTGGGATATTTTCCCTGGTCCCAGATATTCCCAACTAAACACACATAGTTGTTTTATGTTGTTGTTGTTTTGTGAAATGTGTATGTTCGAAAATAGTGGTTGAGCGTATGTATCCCTACTGCTAAACAAAGAGTTGACAGGTATAAATTAAACAACCCATCTCTTCTTGCAGTGCATTAATTCATTATAAGTTGATGCTTCAATTTCCGTGACACTACGTCAGCGTTTTCAAGATTTATAAAATTGGAATTCACGTCGTGGGAAATACAAGTAAAAAAAAAAAAAAAAACAACAAGAGGGAATTCTCAGTAGCCGCGGAACTTGAAATTATTTTACACAAGATCAGAGTAAATTAATCTATGAGATTTTTTTTTACCTTTTTATTAGCTATATTTTTGTGCGCCAGCAAAATGCAAGCGCAGGGCGCGCGTATGCTCGATTCGATTTTATTATTCATCAGGATCTCTACCAGCCTACCCTCAAATTGAATTTTTTAGGCATGATTAGAATAAATTAATCTGAGACCCCGGGCCTGGTCAAATACTTCAATCGAAAAGTAATTATATCTCAAATCGGTCTAGAGATGACGAATCTATGAATTAAAATTTGTAAATATTAAAAAAACACACAAAAAAAAACTCAGAGCCATCCTATTCCGTGGCTAAAAATCTTCCAGATGATTTCTGAATAAGTAGAAGTTTAAAAAACTCTGAACATTTTTTTCTTATCGTTGAATGAAAAAAGTTTTCAAGCTGGTACTAAAACATATTACTATGCTACTCTCTTAGGTATACTACAATTAAACCAGGAAGCCATCGCTGCCAAACGTCATCAACATCATACGCGAGATCATACCATCGACGAGAGTGAGCAGTGTAATCATTGGGAGAAGTTGTTCAAGCAGAACCAAGAGTCGGTATCCGCCACTTTACCGCCCTCTGTTGCTGGAATCTGGGTGTCAGAAAGGTAACCAGCTATATTTATCCCTCCAGAGTTGAAATGTTTGAAACTGAACCGAAATTATTTCAGATTTTACCCCTTCTCACAATATTAATAGCACACGTAATTCTCTGTGCGACATATCATTCAATTTCTTAAAGTAACCAGATTAAATATTTTGTTAGTGTAAAATTTAACAAAATATCTCTTTTGTTCTTCTTAGTTTGAAAACATGTTCAAAAGTTTTGGTTACTCAGATTTCGAGTTTAATTCTTAAATCTGAAAGCGGTCTCAAATGACTATTTATGTATTTTTATATAGTTTATAAACATAGTTGAAAATAATCGTATATATATATCTCAAATAGGTTTGTAAACAATGTGTTATGACTCATGTAAAACTCACTCTAAAAATGAATTCTGGAATCATCCTTACAGATATTCCTGTTACTTCAAAAATACATCTTTAAAATATTCCGATAAAAAAGAATGGATTGAAAACTATTGATAAATATTTATATCTGTGTTGGAAACTGTGTGTTTTACAATAAGGCTAACGGAAGTGTCAAACCAAGATGTTGGTCTTCATTAGTCTTGTCTGGGTGGGGACAACATAGCCTGATCTATGATATGTCATTCAGTAAAACCTGTCAAACTCTTCTTACCCATCAGCTGATATGACTAGTCAAAAAAAGATTTTGAAATCAATGTTTGAGGTTTACTATTGGCCACCCAAATACATATTAACCCATATCATCGTAGAAATCTTGAAGATTGTTATCTTTTTTCCTTTTTTGTGTCATAATTTTTACCGCAACGGGCGGTCCTCGGTCATAAGCAACGCCGAAGCACCCCACCAAGAAGAGAATGAACTTGTGTAATATTATGCTGTTCAAAGGTTTGTGTAGCCTCGTCCTCAGTTGGCATTAATCTCTCACCGGGATTCTCTAACAGACAGTGTTTACTTTTGGGTTAGGTGAAAAATAATCCAGTGTTGTTGGAACAGTGCGAAACCTGGATAATTACCTGTTTCTTTCCCAACATAACAAGTACTTCTCTGCGTGACATGTAGAACATCAGTGCACTCTTTTCTCTATTGTCTATCTTCTGACTGTCTCTAATACCTCTCTGTCTGTCTAGGTCTGTACATTTATATCTTTGTTTATTTCTTTGTATATGTAATAATATCATATTCATGCCATTTGTTATTAAGTAATAACACTTCCATTCATTTGATGTAACGTAAGATTCGATATCCATTCCATGTGGTGATATTTATAGCCGTTGATGCGCAAAGTGAAACTTACTATGCAGTATTAACAAATTCTCTCCAGCTGACACGCAGAGTAACATGTTCGTGTATGACAGTGTAAAGTAATAACATATCCATAACACTTGCTATAAGTAATAACTTATTGTTTCAAATCCACGTATAATATCCATAGCGGTTGTTACGAAATAAAATCATTTTTATTTCATGCGATGTAAAGTTTTAGCTTATCTTCCATAGCATTTTGTATAAAGTAATAACAAAAAACGATCAATGCAGTAAGATTTGTAAGCCACTCTTAGATTTTTATTTGTGTTCTATTCAAGCTTCATTTTATTACATTACACATATATGTTCCATTTCGCTTTATGCATTGAACGAGTCATTGACGGTGAAACTCAATAAAGTTCTAACGTCAGAAAAAAGGAATCTATTGATTATGCAAAAGCTGAAACATAAAATTCCCAAGAGCATCTTTCTAACGTATTATTCCAAGCTTATAGACGTACTGCCGCTCGTTTAACCACGTCACTTTAATGGATTTCGAGTAAGAACATTTTCATATAATCTCATTTATAAGTACCTTCCCGTGCAGTGTATATAGACTTGTATGCTACGGTATAAGCAGTGCTTGGCAGATAAGGCTTTTTCCAGTTATTTCCTTTTAAATCCCCCTAATTCATCCCTAAGCTCTCTTCCCCTTCTTATTTTTCTCTTGTCGAGTGCTTTCACTAGTGATGAGAGTAACATTGTCCTTATTCAGCACCCTTAGGAATCCCGGAGTCGTGAATTATGGGACAGGTTTCGCGTTTTGATAGAGCCGATCACAAACGGACCTTTTCCCCTTTGCTGGAAATTACCGATACTTTCCAACAGAACTGGCCCAAGGGAATAGAACTTATCGTGGAGTGACGACCAGCTGCAGCTACAACGATAACTGGACGCTTGTTTCATTCAATCGACGACATCCAAGTAATTTTGTAAACATGCTCTAGAAACTGGAGAGGAAGCTGTATACAAGCTTTTATCGAATATTTTACGTGTTCTTGATTTTGTTTATTTAAGTTTTCACAACATTCTCTAATATATTTCATTCTGAGTTGTTATTAACTCATTAAATGAAGTATTTTTGTATAAATCAAAACCGAGTCAAGTGTCGATTTTTAATTTCAATATTTTAAAGTTTTTTCAAATACTCGTAAAGACAGCTTAAAAGTTGATTTGATCGGGGTTTTCGAAGGTTTGAAAATTATGTTTGTGCTAATTGTGTCAATGAATTGATGACCTCTAATCATTATTAATTTTTGTTGTATGCTTACTTCTATTTAGGCTGGTATATTAAATTAATGTTATTAGTCCTGATCTTCGTACGTAGCTTTCCTTCATCGAAAATTATTGATAATATTGACTATTTGTTTTCTTTAGAATATTTTATACTATAAATTAAGGTCACATTTATCAAAATCAAACTAAAAAAAAATCTTCCTGAGACGGTTTCATGACGAGAAAAGAAATAAGGTTCTATTGAAGTTACTGCTAAATAAAATACCACGTCTCGAATTAGTCCCGCCCCCCGGTGGCACAGCGCTATGTCTGCGAACTTATAACGTTAGAAACCGGGTTTCGATACCCATGGTGGGCAGAGCACTGATAACTCATTGTGTAGCTTAACTTCAAACAAACAAAACCTAATAAGTTCCTCGTTTTTATGAAATCATATTTATCACCCGTAGAGTTGTGTTTTTTTACAAAAATTGAAAGGACGTGTTTTTAATGTCTACGTCATTATTTTAAAGTTTACCAGCAAACAGCTGAAGAAGAGAATTAGATATTAGAAGTAAAACAGCCAATTCAAACTTGTGATAAGTAAGAAAATGTGGGATTCAAGAAATTAAAACCACTGTTTTATCATGATTAACTTGGTTCTTAACACTTTAACTGATTTCATTCAGATATTTTTAGAGGATTTTTTGCAAAACTACATTTGTGTCCAAACTTTGTAAGTGCGTGAATTTTCTGTCCGTCTCCGATCATTTGGGCAGTAATGAAAATGCTGCATATCTAATGTCGGTAAATAAATCAACCTTATGACTGACTAGAGTGACTGAATTCGTAATCTGTTATAAAAAGTTTCAAGATAGACAGATATCTGGCGAGTCTATTTTAATCAAAGCGTCTCTGTTAATGTGTAAATAATACTAGTGTAGGAATATCGAAGTAATGATACGTGAAAGGTTCTTGTTACATGCATTCATGCTACCATACAAGTAGTACCATACCATACTGTAGTACGCGTCCCTTAGACACACACATAAATATATATATATACACCTAGACATCACGTGACATGTTTTTCGTGACACTTGTGTGTACTTCAAAGTATGAGATGATAGTTTCATAAGCATGTGAGGTTTCAGTACGTGTATACATAAATTTATAAAGTTCCTGGATTGTCGATCTTCGAGTTCTGGAAATCGTTTCCATAGAGAAAGTTACAATGAAAACGTTATTAAAAACGTTATGTAACTCAGCAAGTGTCTTTATTCTAAACAATGAGTGTGTATGAATAGGTTTGGTCTTGCTAAATGTATAACTGGCAATCGAATGCAACCTCGAGTAGTTCTGTACTTCTTCTGATGAGTAGTTTTCTACAACGCACTAGTATAAGTCAAAAGTACAATTTCCAGTAGAGGGTTAACGTATTCTACTTCTTCTTAATCGGGATTCGGTCTATGTTTTGGAAAAAGGAGAGTCATGTTCAGCGTTGACCTCTTCCTCCCTCTCTGGAATTGTTATTTTGTTTGCACTGTTACTGAATCCTAGGTAATAACCCTTGTTACTTTGTTGTTGCATTACTCACAGTTTGCTACATTTTGTCCATTGTCCGCAGTTTTAATTAACATACCCTTTTCGTGCCCCATCCAATTCATGGGGTAATATCAACTTGTATATTTTCATTAGCTTCACTTATGTATGATCGCACTATTAGTCCGTTTTCACAATACAGTTCCACTTAGCAGTTATATATATATAATACTATTTTTGCATACAAAACTCTTTTAAAATAGAGCTACGTTTGTGTCTAGGATTCAATTAGCCTAGCACTGTTTGGTCTGTAAGATTCTTATTTATGTTGTTTAGAGGGGAAAGATACTTGGGCTTGGTTTATCATGTATTATGTAACTCTAGTTTACTCATCAGTTCATTTTTATTAATATTTTTCTTATAATATTGAAGCGAGTTATCCAAGAGTCTGTCTGATAGAGTTGGCATGTTTGAATAGTTGTGTAGAAATTTTGAATTTAATGATCGTGGGACTCTGTACGCTTTCGTTAAAATATAGTTTTGTATTTGCTGTAGTTTGCTGATGTGTGTTTTTGATACATTTATCCATGTTATACAGACATGTTCTACAACTGGTCTTATGTATATTCTGTAAATTTTTAATATGTTTTTTGGTAAAGTTCCTTGATTGTTGCCAGTTAGGCTCCTAAGGTAACTCGGTCTTTTCCAAATTCTGGTTTTTATGCTATTAATGTATGGTATCCAGTGTAATCTTGAGTCAAATGTAATCCCTGAGAATTTTGCTGATGTTGCTACCTGTAAGAGAATCCCGTCTAGATATAACAGTGGTATTAATTTGCTTGTTTTGTACGATTTTGTAAATAATATGACTTGTGTTTTGTGCGCGTTTATTTTAATTCTCCACTTATTGCAGTACAGTTCTATTTCGTTTAGTAGTGGTTGTATATTGTATG